CTTAGGCCTCCAGTTTTCACATCTTTAACTTCGGTTTGAATTAATTTCCATCAAAAATATGTCACTCCAGTAGGCCCAATCGACCTAAATTATTCTATGTATCCAACTCAAGCATACTAAACCAGATCAGGGAACAGGTGGAAAAATCCTTCCAGCAGCAAGCTGTTTTATCTGCTTAGTGCAGACTGAGGCCCAGCACCACCACCTTCCTCCAGCACCACATCTTCTGTAAGAAAGAGACACTAACATCTCCATGGCTGCTGGTACTTCACTCTAAGACAATGCAGCTGCCTCACAGTTCCTGACTTAGTTCAAGCCACCAGCCCCTGGAGCATAACTCCTTGGGGACAGTAGTGTGCCATGAAGCCCAGCCTCCTCCTGCACAGAGCGGTTGCCAGAAAAGGCACATCCTAACTCCTTTGTTGAGGCACAGCATGCAAGCAGGGCAGAGCAGGAGTCAAGGTAAGATCCAAATATTTTGGTAGCCATGTATGACGGAATTTTTATTTTGCCTTAAAGTTGTTACTGTAGCATAGTGGGTTGAAAAAAAAACCAAGAGTCACCATTAACAACAGTAACAAAGACAAAAAAATAAATCCAAGATGACAGCACAAACTCTCCCACATTCCATTTCTCCATAATTTTGGAGAGAGTCTGCTGTTATTAATAAGACTACTGCTATATGCAGTGTTTTTAAATATGGGCCAATCCTACAGAATAGTCAGACATGGTGGTGAGAAATAAAACCTAGAACTAGGTATGAGGCTGTATTCATTAAATGCATCTTGGACCTCCCCCCCATGTTTGCATGAGGTAGAGATAGACCCAATTACTCTGTACATGACAGAAGATGCATTTAAGGCTCTGATGCACACAAAGCTAACAAATAGGTACCTAATCCAACAGGCCTAATTTCAACAGTAAGCTGCTCAGAACAGCTCTGCGTCGTACAAAAAGTCACCTGCGTCCGTAGGAATGCTATTCTCAGCACCAGTGTCTATAGATACACAAAGGCTTTAAGCCGTATTTCTCATTCCTGAAAGACCTAAGCAGCTTAATACTAAAGCTCACACACAAGGGAGTACTTCAGAGTTGCAAGATGGAGGTACCTGTGACACCTCAGGAACCCCACTTGTTGGGCAGTTTTGGGCTCTGAATGAAAAGCAAAGGCAACTTTCACTGCTTTTAAGTCAGCTGCAGCACTGATAATAGGTTTCACAATGCTTAATGCTATTGTTGAAGCTTGGCCCTGAAGTTGCTCAGGCTGAACGGTTTGCCTGCCTTACCTGTCTGATCTCTTACCAGAACTGTGATGCAGGAAGGATGGCCACCACCAACACATAAGTACCTTTTATATGCAGTTCCATTCTGTGTCAGTTTTGAAGATTCAGGTGCTGTGCTTGAATTTTTCCAGAGCTGCAGAGGCCACTTACTCAGCAGGGGCTGAAGGCAGAAGCCTGCCGGATGCTCGTTCAGCCAGCCCATAACCTTCTTGTTTCTACAACCTGAAAGCAGTGACGCTCCCATCTTGCTAGCAAGCTGAATGCATCCTTTGAGGAAATCAGGCACTCAATCCACAAGAGCATTTGGTGCATGCAGTTCCTTCACAGGAATGTCAGAAGGGACAAAGAGATGGAGGCCCTACCTGCCTCCCCCCAGCTTAACCCCAGATAACATGACCATTGCTGAAAAGAAACATAGGGAGTGATTTTATCCACCCTGGCTCAGTGGGGCCCTCACAGCCAGAGAGGAACACATACAGTATAGCAGGCTACAGGATGGAGGATAACGAGTATATGGTAAAACAAGCACACACAGAGTACTTCAGCCCTTGCATTAAATGTGGGATACCTACGCCCCTCCCATTTTGTTCTTCCTAAACTTTCCTTTCACTAATAGGCTCCTGTTTACATCATACAGTAAAAGCCAGGTGCTACACTCCTAAGGGTGAAACATGGCACGAAGATCTGGTAAAAGGACTTTTAGTAACATATTACTAAAGCCAAGTGCAGGCTGCTGAACTACTCGCATCCACCAGGTACGCTGGCAAGCCCCTAGCCTGCCTTCAGCCCGGCTGTTTCCTACCACAGCAAGCAAGCAGGAAACAGCGATGGGCGCAACATGCAAAGTTCATTTCCGTTCATCAAACAATACAAATGCTGGAGGTCCTGCTGTTCCCTCCATTTTGAACTGTCATACAAACTTCTATGTGAGGAACTGGAGTTCTCATTGAAAAGTCTCACCTCATTCCCAGAAGACAGAAAATCTTGGCATTCATTGCATTTGAGACAAATGTTAACAAAAAGGACTTACCAGTGTGAGTCTTCTTCCCTCAACAAGATGGCCAGATACTCTCATCTCAGTATCTATGAATGACATTCTGAAGCTATTAAGTTCTTAGGAGTCTCTGGGCTGTCATTCACAGCTTTTTAAAAAAGCTATTTATTAGAATAAAGCAAGAAATGTCATCTGCATTTGGCTCCAACCCACCAACTGACTGCTCTTCTCTTGCTGGGGAATTTAAGTTAACAATTAGCTGAATTTTGTGCAGCTCACTTTAGAAGATTAGAATTACCAGTGAAATTCTCCACCATGTAATAATCATCTTCTCATCAATGCATATTTTTTAACCACCCAATTATTGCCATATTTAGATTACTCCTTGAATTGGGAGCTGGTATTTAATTACAATGTTTCACTAGTGCTTGTACATGCTTAAATCTGCAACACAGACATACTACTTACAATTAACTTTGCAGTAGGTCCAGTGTTAAAGATTCACCTCTCTCATTCAGCCTTCTCAAGAGTTTTACAAGTCAAAAATTGTCTAATGCATGATAAATAATGCAGGCCCTGTTTATTCCATGCTGTGCGCAATTTTATGTTGGAATTACAAGCCTCCTTGCCAAAAACGTCCTTGATTCTCAGGCTTCGAGAGAGTAATTGGTACCTCATATTCTCCCCTTTTTTGCACCAATTAAAACCTGCAGGTGCACTAATATTGTCATCTGGAATCTTGCTGGCACATCAGAGGTTATTTTCACCAAATGTGTGCTATTAGTAAAATCAGCCCATCAGGGGAATTGTGAATGCTCTGTTTGTTGTTACAGTACTCTCAAGGCCTTCCAAGTATTTTACTAGTGCAAGACCAGACAATAAATTTTTACCTCTAAAGTAAACACAGTGTGTCATAAAAACTAAATTCAGTTGGAAATATTACTTTCTCACTCACTCAATGTATATTTGAAACAGGTGAATCATTTTTTCAGGACTGTCTCAGATTTAAAGGCCAGACGTGACTGTTAAGGTCATCTACGATCTCCTGCTGAACACAGGCCACAAAATTTCTCTTTATTTCTCTTGAAAAGCACTCTAGCTCAGAGAGAAGGTAGGCTTAAAAAAAGAACAACAACAAATTAAATACTCGCAGCAATCTTGAGATAGGTAGCAGAAAGCAAGAGCCACTGCTGTCAGTAGCAAAAACACCCTTTGATTTAAAAGGGCCAATACTTCACTCACAGTTCCAGTGAAGGAAAAATCCACCTCCATTTTGGAGGTTTTTCCAGTGACTAACTACCCTCACTACAAAAGGTCTTCCTTGCACCATGAGACAATGGCCTAAAACTACTATAAGCACACCGGTCAAAAGTTCCCCAAACTTGTTGTTATGATTCTTCTTCCTTTTTTTCCAGTGTATTAAATCATGAGACTACTGTAGGCATCATGGCACTATATGCAGGGCAATGTTTATGAGGAACAAATACCTCTTTAAGTGATGAACTCCCAACAATACTGGCTGAACTGGAATTTGGAAAACTGAACTCTGCCATCACTCCTGAAGGAACTCCCCCACCCAGCATCTCCAGAGAAGTGTCAAATATCTCCATTTTATTTAGCTTTAAAGGTCGGTCCTCATTTAAGATTCAACTGCAGTCCCTCTAAAACCTTTCTAGACTTTAGGTAATTATTTAATCTTTGAAAGAACTATTATTTTGCAGCGTATTTTACAGGTTAAGAGACTTAACATTGGAACAGTAGGACATCCAACACTAAAGTGCAGAGAAGTTTCTGTTTGAAAGTCTATGGCACATAGCCCTGAAAAAGATTACTTTGGTCCCAAGTCCTTCACCTCTAACAAGGCATCTTGTCTAAGTAAGATGCCTGAAGTAATTAAGGGATTAGTGATACCTTCAGGGCACAGCCTCATTTTGCAAAAAGCAGCCAGGAGCTGTACATTCTCAAAGGAGTGGGACCCTAAGAGGAATTCTCTTTTTTCCTAAATATGATGAAGACGATACTACCATCCAAACGGATTTAGGCAGAATGATAGTGTAACAGGGCAGTTGGAACAAGGCCATGGCATGTACCTCCTACCATCTGTGGAGGGGCAATGTTTGTACCAGACCCTCGTTCTGAATACAGGAAGGAGAAAGAACATTCCCTCCATGCTCCCAGCTGTTTTGAGGGCACCTGCAAAAATGCCTGTCCCCATCCAGACCGTGACAACTTTGGGTGTCACTTTTACAGAAATAAATAATTAAAATGATATTTGAAAGTGCCTTGAAACAGTTTGCTCATTTTAACAGTTGCTGAACAGAACAGAAAAAAAGTTAAGAAACAACTGAATTCTTAACAACTTTTTACAGCCAGAGATGACTATAAATCATACAATGAACAAGCGTGCACCTGAGAGGGAATTCTGTTTTCACAACATGCAAAACTGATTAAGTGGTAGCACTTTTCCTGAACACATTTGCACACCTCATAGGGAAACATATTGTGTAATACTCTCAAACACTTCTTATTTCACCATTAACCATTAAGCATGTACAGAATTGAATAAGGAAAAAAAAGCCAACCAAACAAAAAGCATCAATAAACATAAGAGATTGTAAAACCCAGGCAGACAAATGCAGTATTAAGTCAATCCTGACTTAATAAATTCTGCATGCAAAATACAAGTCAAGATTTGACTGAATTTCATGGACTTAAAAAAAAATTATATATATAAATCTTCAAGGGGCTGCGAGGCAGGATTGCCATCAGAAACATTAAAATAAACCCAAAATGCAGCCCTCTTATCAACTACTGTCTGGGCCACTTAGGAGAGGGTAGACTTGGTTATTTTTCCTCCTGAAGTGGCATTCTGTAAAAGTCACTTGGGACTACAGGAAATATCCTTGAAATTCTAGTTAACCCTTCTTATACTGCAACTGGAGAGAGCGGTGTCTGGGCTTAAGGGGAGAGCATCTGCTTGCTCCTTCTACCTCATGAATTATCAGCACCCATGCTGAAACACACTTGGACACACCTAAGCTGGGTCACCAACAGCAAAGATATTTCTACATAAATCAGGCAGAGCACACATATATTTTGGGCAGGGTTCTGTTCTCTTACACCAGTTCCAGATACTAAATTGCTCTCTAGGCAGAACAGTCCACACTACACTCTGAAAGATGAAGATCTCAAACAGATTTGACAGTTAATTTTTTTTACATGGTGTAACTAGGATCAGAGTCAGACCACCTAACTTCCAAATACCCAGATTAGAACTGGATGTTAACTACACATCTGTTCAATTATTTTGAGTGGATCAGCTTGTGAACTGAATAAACAAGAAACTGCTATCTCATTGCCACATTTTAGAGTATTACCAGCTTTACCTTGCTTACCCTGAAGGCTCCAGTAAAGCCTCCAACGGCAGGAAGGACAGACTCTAAAACACACAAAATGTTGTAATGTTTTGTTAAAATAAAAGCTTTAGTGTTTACAGGCAAGAAGGTCTTCATTTTCTGCAGGATTCTACAGCTGCCAAGATGTCTTGCAAAATGCTGTTTCTGTTTTCCTTACTAACCTAGAGAAAGAGAAATTAAAACTGATGTGATTTGATGAATAACCTCTGTACCAGTGTTTACTTCAAAAACAAACAAAGCAGAAATTCAAATGCATTTCTTTCTCAGTGGAGGAATGTGGAGTGTCAAACACCTGCTTTCTTCTGCTACTGAGAACACAATAAGCTAAACCCACAAACCTGCATATGTAATTGAATATTCAGTCATCTTTTTGATTTAATTACCCATGGTATTTTGCAGTATTATTCAGGGCTTGAATAACTACCAAGAATCACTCGAAGAACCAGCATCTACTTTTGTCATTACTAGAAATCCTTTTCAATTACCAAATATAATTTTCCTACTATAAAGCAGAGTTCTTATGCCTTCAGTACTTGAAAGAGTTGTATTTATTAGGATGACAGATCTAGTAAAAAACATCTGCAATGAAAAAAATTAAAACAGGCTTAGCAGCGCAACTCTGTGTTCTGTGAAACCTTGGCATTACAGGACATAAACACCTTGAAAAAGAAAGACGACTACTTGAGAAAGCTGGGGGGCTTTTGTAGCACACTGAGGTATGCCTTTGGTTGACCAGTCCATGGAAATGTTGGGCTTTAAGACCAGTACATGTGAAAAATCCATATAGTTCAGTTTCCTGTCTTTTGCTGGCCCCATCTGCATTGCAGCACATGCAGATTACTGTTAACTGCCAAGCAAATGCTAGCACTTGCTGGTAAGCTCAGGTCCCAGGTGCAGCAATGACAGAACACAGAGCTGGAGGGGGGTGGGGAGTGTGTGTGTGTGTAAATTACTCCTTCTTGATAGACCTGGTCCTGAGACAGAGCCCACTGACCCACAGTGTCATGCATTACTAACTCCACCAAATCTGTGGAGATAGCTGGGGTGGTGAAAGAGTTAAAAAGCAATTGTGAAGTGTCAGCAAAAGCCTCATTTTAAAAAGCCTAAGAAATTTTCCGCACTGTTCAGATCCCTGCAGAGAGGGAAGGAAGAAATCAGACAAAGACAGATGAGCCAAAAAAAATTAAGGGCGTTCATATTTTTAACAAAGTTTGGGAAATGCTGTTTGACGAGGAAGGAGAGACACCACACTATGCATGGCATAAAACTCTCTACCAGCAAGGCTTCACGGCATTCCCTGTAGCTGCGTTTAAGATCTGAGCACAAGGGCTTGTGTCCCTTCCAGCACTACAGTCAATACCAAACAGGAGAAAGTATTATTATTATTATTATTATAATTTTTAAATAGATGACAGTCCTACCTGAAGAATTTGGCCCTAGGAGCCTACTGCTATTTAGTCACAGACATCCCATCCAAATGCTGGGGACCAACAGTGTAAAGCCTAGAGATGGTGGTCTTACCTACACCGCTTGAATTCAAGAGAGCAGATCAACATGGGAAGAAGAAAAAGTGACATTAAAAAAAAAAGAAAAAAAAAAAGAAGGGAATGAAAGGGAAGATCTGCCTGAAAATGCTGCTGGTTTTATTGAGTATCATTCCAAGCATATTATAAAATAAACAGAAAACCCCACAATAACAAAGAGAGCAAGACAACAAAGAATGGAACTGCTCTTCAGTAAGGCTATTGAGAGACCCTAAGGTAAACAAGGCACAGAGCATCAGAGCATAGATCAGCCAAACTAAATCTCACAGCAAGTGTCCTGATATCCTGACTTTCAAAGGACCTTCTGAACATTTAATAGCCCTTCCCACTGTCTCACAGCCAACAAAAACAATAGTACATTTTATCTATCCCTTTTCCATACCTACATGCCAGAAGTCCAGTGAGAGCAGCAGCAAGAAAATGCCAAGTGCTGGGAAACTTTCACAACTGTTTTACAAAGGCTGCTTGATAGATATAAGTCTCTTCTTAAGATCTCGAGACTTTCTGTGCAGGCAGCTTTCCCAGAAAGAACAAATCTCCCAGTATCTGTACTGAATGTTCAAACAGATGCACAGATTTTTAGACAGGGAATTTAAAATAACTAACAGTAGATGCTGCTTATACTAAGCACTTAGGTAATTTGGAGGAAACTACCATCTAGACTCTAAGCAGGCAATAGTAGAGGACAAAAGCTTTCTTCCCCTAACTGCTGAAGTACTGTCAAGGAAACCCCTCTTGTACAGTCTGTTCAAATGGAGCCTTTTCTTCTTCTGATGCATTTAACTATTTATTTTCTTTCTTAAAAGGCATATGCAACCAAACTTCACTAATGGGTTTCATGGAAGCAAATTTAATAGATGGGAAAATGGGAGAAAATGAGTATGTGCCAGCTACTAAGGATAATCTGATCCTATTTATGACACCGTGTCTGCAAAACTACACAGACCCAGGCAGTGCAAAAAGACCCTCTGTAGTTTCACTGGAAAGTTTCGTTCTCAGCAAAATGGAATTGAGCAACAATGGAAAGAAATGTGTTAAATATCAGAGCTCCTATCATTAAGTGCTCTAAACATACTAAATTAAACATTTGGGACCAAATCCTCAACTGCCTTTAGGGCATCTGGGCCCATTCACACCAACTGAATAGGCTTGCAAGACAGAAGGGACTGTAAAACCCCAAACATCTGTCTCTATGCTCTTAGCATCAAACATCAGGACTGTCCTTGTGACACTGAGAGAAGGATGAGAAAACTCTACTGAGTTACCTGAATGCAGCCTAACTCCACATTAAGTGACAACGCAGGCAGAACTTTTTTGAAGGGTAGCCTCCTACTTCTGCACACTTCCAGGCACCATAAAAGTTAGTAAGAAATTACTGACCGTGAGCTATTTGGGCACTCCAGGTTCTCCCCATGCCACAGCCCTTGAAGAAGCTGGTGAGATCACATAGCTGGTGATCCAGTATTTACTTCAGCTAGTAACACCTCTGACTCCCCACGGACAGTTTCTGCTCCTGCTCATGGACATGTTTTAACTAGCTGGGAAAGAGCATGTAGTGTGTCACTGGAGCAAGCGAGACAGATGCTCCCCTGCATAAGATTAGCATAGTAGGTCTCTGCCACCTGGGAACTATTGCAGTCTGTCACACATTTCACACTCATGCTTTTGGCTAACGGATTCACCAGAGAACTATTTAAACAAAAGAAACCTGCACATCCTAATCTCAGCAGCGTAAACAGGATGGCTCATTTTTTTAGTAAAGTTTTTTTTAAGCTAGAGAAAACATTGCTCCATTGAAATTTACAGGAAGACCTTTGCTGGCTGTAGTCAGTATTTGAGGGAAAGATGTATCAGCAGACTGATATAGCTAACAAGCAGGGGCTGAGTGGCACATGCCCTCAGAACATTACCTGATAAAAAGAAGCAGCAGAAGCCTCAAACGCTTCCTTGAAAAGCCAAATGCTGTTTTCTAGCACTCCGTTTCCTCCCTTGAGAGGACCAAACACACACTATTGCCTTGCCAGGACTGCAGCCTAAGCACCGAATGACTGTTACCTTCAGTGAGGCATTCCCCATTCCCTCTTTCCCAGTCCTACCACTGTAAAGCAAGTCATATAAAATTCACATTCACATGCATCCCTGTTCAGTAGCCTGACAACACACACATCAGCTTGTCAGTGGGAAACCTGGGGTTTTATCTCTGACAGGAATGGTAGGAGTTGAATTCTTATGTGAGGAAAGGAATCTTCTCTCATCTTTGCTCCTAGGATTGCTTTAGCACTTAATTAAACAGGCATTTAATTTAAAAAAACAGAAATTGAAGATGATGATGGGACCACCAACTAAAAGAAAGCTGAGGAACTTTTCTGAGCACTGCAGTTTTATTAATCTCACTTTGCAGAGGAAAAAAGAAGATGGAGGCTTTGCTTTCTCTGCAGTAATTAAGATCATTCAGTATGAAGTTGTTGAGATAGTGTTTTTTCCTTCCTCATTCACTTACATGAAAACAAAGTAATCATTCTCACTGTGAGGTGCATCTGATAAAGAATAGGCTGCAACAGTATACTGCTCTACAGCATATTACCCCTGTTAGTAAGCTGATGTGTAAATCCCACTTACTGAATTTATAATTTACAGAGATACACAGCTTTATTCTCTACTACAAATAGTATGCACTGAGCAGAAAAATAAATCAAAGGAGGTGGGGTTGCATTTAGCTTGTTTTTGTGAAGCATCCAGGACACTTACAGATGTTAAGGAAACCTCACACATGTATTCCTGTGAATGGGCTATGTTTTGTTGTGGTAAGTTTTTGAGAACCTCCCTGTAACTGCTCAGAAATGCACTTTGAGGCCCTAATATTCTGAAAATTATGTCTGTAAAAATAACATAATCATTTCCAAAATTGGTTCAGTGACTCCAGAGAAAGTACACTCCATTTACAAGTGTCTTTCTTCTAGAAATCATTTCTGCAAACTCCACTGCTGCCTTTTTTTAATTTTTTTTATTGAGTATGATTAGTGGTAATACTTCTGGAAGCCAGTCTGGAAAAAAAAAAAAATCTCACTGTACTTTAAAAGATTTAACTCTTAGGAGTAATGAATACTTATATGGCAATAATACTACAGCAAGAAAACCTTTTAAAACAACTATATCATTACTTCTACAGCCCCTCACAAGCAAAGCCAGCTGTGTGAGACTGCTACAGTAAGTGCCAAATGTGATTTTTTTTTTTAATAAGGTGAACACCTGCCCATTAAGAATAAAATGGAAACTAAAAAACTTATTTTATACAAGCTACCCACAGCTATCAATTGGTAGTAACAATTAGATTTTAAACAGAGCCAAATACAAACCATCAACCTAGAACAGAAGGCTCTTTAAGGATATTAAATATTACTCACATTGAACACTTTAACATCTTTCCTACTTCTTATTTCTTCAACAAGATCCAGTGGCTTCCCCTTAGGTATTGGAATAGTTCCAAGCACCACGGTCCCCGAGCCAGTCAGTGTTTGACGAACAGCTTGAATAAAAGGCTGGCTGAAGAGTTCCATTTTACCGATCTCATCTATGACACAGATTTTTTTCTCTGCATCACTGCCATGGTTTACCTGTGGAAAAGTGCATCAAGAGACTGTAAACAACACAGGACAAGCAACAGAAATAATTGCTATGCTAATAAAATAAATACCTCCAAAAGAAATCAATACAATTGTAATACTGGGGAAAGTGGAAGTCAGAGCTGCTGCTGGTAACTGACAGACTTATAAATCCATCATTTCTATTTCAGGACAGATTTTTGGAAAGATGAAAATATATGTACAGCACAAATACCAACTAGAATAGGAAACACCTATAATATTAGTTTTTCTTAAAAGCAGAATTCTTATAATGGTCCCATATGACCTATTTGACAATTAAGAACTGCACTTTGCCTACTAGCAGCTCTCAATCGATCTGAGGGACACCAATTTTTCAAAACATCACTCTTCCCAACAAATTATGCATTTAGAATACATTAATATCCACACAACACAAGTATTAAAAAAATAGACTCGTGTTAAATCTAGATTTGGAAGTTTATCCTCTTGTGGCTGGGTCAAAGGACGGTCAAAACTAGCATTTCTCTCAGAACGACTAGTTTTCTTCAAAGCTATGTGAATAACAACCAAGCCATTTCCAAGCCCCTCTCACATCAGAACAGTCACCTTCCATTTCTTTGTTGAGATATAGCTTATTCTGTAGTCCTAGGCATCCCTCTGGAACACACAATAGGCGCCATACTAAAGATTAACCACATTTGGGGCTTGTTTGCTTTTTTCATGAAATGAATACTGTGCCAAACAGTAACGTGCTGCAGACTGGTGTGAGCAGCAGGGAAGTCTAGGAGAGAACATGGGTGACTGCCACTTTGGGAAAGGCAACTTGGAAAGTGGAGGAACTATTCAATAGAAAATGAAGTGCACTGCCTCCCTTCTCTTGGTAAAAGCAACTGAGAACTGTACTCCATTATTTATAGAAGTGAGGAGGAAATAAACTCAAGTCAAAACATCACTGTAGATCCATGGATATATACCAATACCAGCCATATTATACAGAACCTAAAAACAAAGGAAAAAAAAAATGAAATGTTTTCCCTTGTGAAGGCAGAGTATTTGCTTCTGGGAAAGTGGAAGAACTGTATAACATGCATCCTAATATCTTTTCAAGCTAAGTCCCTGCTGAGTAGCTGTTTTATCTAAAATCCTTTCATAGATCAGTGAGCTAAAAAGCCAATACTAGTCACTAGGTCACACATTGAGAAACAGAGCATTTTAATTTGAAAGAAAAATCCTCAGTCCTGCCTGGTAAAGTTTCCAGAACCAGAGAGACGATCCATTGTATGATCTACCCCTGTTCTCACTGGAGTGAATGAGATCCAAGCTTTAAGAACTGAAGCTGTCCTCAAGACTACATGGGCACATGCCCACTCCATGCTGCTCTCTGATCAAACCAGACCATATCTGTGGCTCTCCTACCCTCATTCTCCATTTGTCTCTTCTTGTTTCAGTTCTGTGATCTTCCTCACTCACCTCCTCTCCCATTTTGTGCCACCTACATGCATGACCAGATTCCCACAAAACTGATTAACAGCGCTTCCAATGAGAACAGGGTCATGCACTGTCCAACCCTCCTGGCCCCTTTTCTTCTTCTCTTCACTCTCTTGTACTTGCAGAAAGCTATATAACAACCAGGAAAATTCAACACTGCTAACACCCTTCTAGCAAGATCTCTCCTGGACTTCACATTAATGCAGCAGTAAAAGGATTCCAAGTATAGCGCTGGCTTAATTAAGTCTTTTTTATTAAACTATCCTTCTATTTACTAACATAGTAATCAAGTTACAGTGAATTAAACATATAAAAATTTCCCCACTTTATTCATATTTCCTTTCTCCCTTGTCCCCAACATCTTTGCTTCCCTACTCTCAGACTTTAATATTCCTTGACAAAAGCAAGAATCAGATCCTCAATTTCATTTTTGCTCCTTGCACCTCTTTGGTTTTTTGTTCTTTTGAAGTTCATTAAGAAGTCCCTTCTTCCTTGGCCCCATGAGCTTTGGCAGTGTAGAAAAATCACAATAGGATTTTTTCAGTAGTACAGTTCAGCAGCTGCTGCACACTGTTTGCGATATGTTATTGCCAAAATCAGATCTGTTCTTGTTCAATTTTGGAGAGGGGAAAGGTTGGAGTGAGAGATAGCAAGGAGAAGGAAAAAGGCAGTAACAGAATGTTAGGAGAAGGATAGGAAAAAGACTGTGTGGAAAGTCTTGTCACAGTCAAAGCACTCCTTGTGCAGCAGGCTAAATCCCAAATTATTAGGCTGCTATTATCAGTTAAAACCTACCAGTCTGCAGGTATTTACACAGTGGTAATCAAAAATAACCACTGGATTCAAGAAACAAATGCTTCTACTGGAAGAAGATGGAAATCAGAGCAAGAGGGAAAAAAAGGCTGTAAAGAAGATGAGCAGCAGCAAAAGCCTTTTTCTTTGACCCACTGACTCCACCCAGTTCTGCGTGGTAAGCCACTCGTACATTTTTGTTTGCTTTCCAATATGCAAGACAGTGGCATAGGAAGAAACTTCCTTTCAGCTATCTCTCAGTCCAAGGAGGTCCTGCTCACAAGACAATGTCAGATCAAGAATGAGAGGGGACTGCAATCTCTCCAATGCCACAATAAGCACAAGAGAACAAGCCAGATTTGCCCCTCCAGCTTCCTGATCAGGAAGTCAATCAGAATCAGCAATACCCAAGAAACAGGCCATTTATTAATATCAAAAACTAGTGCTCTAGAATGGCCTTCCTATAACAATGATTATCATAAAGTATCGATTTTTCAGCAGCTTTCATAGAATACTTACATTTCTCAGCATAGGTAGAACCAACTGCTCGAATGAAACAAGGTCTACAACATACTGTCCGACCCGATATTCACGTCTTGAGGTAGAAGAATCAGAACTGAATTTGAAAAAGAGATACACAATTCCTTCTAAGTAATGAGTTTAGTGAGAACACACTGCAGTCATTTCAAGTGGATTTATGAGAAGTTATCCTAGTACATCAAATCCCTTTAATACTTCTAAGAAAAGGAAAGAAACTCTGTAAATCATCCATTAAGTCACATTGCAGATAGCATACTTTCAGATAATAAATATAGCATGAGCTACCTTCACAACTATGTAAGGTCAAATTTGAACAGTGTATGGAAGGACAATGGGATCTAAAAGCCAGCAGGTGTATTTACACCAAAATCAAAACACATGCCTGCAGTTCAGATCTTTGAATTTGGTAATGTGACACTACAGACAGCATCACAGCAGTAGCCCAAACCTCAGTATGGGCTGCAAAACACTTGAACGATCTTGGAAAAATCAAACTTGCATCATACTATCCTAGGTGAACCTCCTTTATTAGCAGTATGCAAATTATTTAGTCAGATCAACTATGTCCAAATGACGTGCTAATATCACACCTGGACCTAGACTAAATTTTGCACAAAGCATGAAAAGCTAAGTCAGAGACTGCAAGCCCCTTTGCACTTCACGGCCCCCCCTCTCAGTGGGGCTCTGAAACCCTCTTTTTCTTAAAATTCACATGTGGGTTTTGTGGGCCAGTCAGTGGCTCTTGAAAACAATGTTATATGCAATTTCCCTTTTATTTTCCACTCCTGTCTCCATAAATTAGCTGGTAGAAACAAAAAATCTTCCTCCCTACCTACAATAAACTACTTACCATATCCCAAATAGACTTGGCCTCACAATAAAAGGCTCAGCAGTGCTTCCTCTCTGTCTGATGTAAAATAGGCAGTAAGAGAAAACACCCTTCCCTAGCACATTTTCAATATTTCGCTATGCAAGAGAGACACTGCCTACATACACAATACAGGTATCAGCCAGAACACGAGAACTGAACAAAGAACCTGACCATGAGAGTGGTCTGTGTGCTGGAAATCACCTTCTGGTGGAGCATTTAACATGCCAACAAACCGGAGCAGAGGCATAAAACAGTAAGCCACTTACAGTTATTAAAACCTCAGTACCTGACTCTAGATAAAGGTCCTCGTTTTCCAGACAAAGTGACAACATCAAATCCTGTTCTCCTGCCACCTTCTCTAACTTCCTCTGTGTAAAATCCATCAATGGAGATGCCTGAAGATTTTAGAGCTTGAGTGACTTTCTGGATCAAAGTAGTCTTTCCAACCCCTAAAAATAAAGAAGAAATAAAAAGCACACAGGATTAATCTGCTGCACTAAAACTCCATTTTTAAACACCACAGTAAAGATTCAGTTCAGCAGGAACATTGATTACTTCTTAAGTTTGTACATTGGTTTTCTTAAATAGTAGGAAAGAATAGAAGCACCTTTTAAAGTTCATCCTGTACTGACACTGTAATGTTTTACTAGCCTTTAAGAAGTATGTCTACAGTGAAGGCACAACAGAATGGTACAACTATCCCAGGCTACCACTGAACTTGTTAGTTTAGATAGTGCGCAGGCAGGCCACAAAGCTTGCCCCAGGGCAGGTAAATACATGAGAGCCATACTGTTACACAACTGATATCCAAGCTAGCTGGAAGACTGACTGATGAATCTCCCCTTCTACCACTGCTATTCACTACTTCTTAAGAACAGAGCTGAGTTCATCCCCCTTTTAGATCATAAGGCCAAAGCTGACTGTTATTACCAGGAGCCTAACTGGCACAAAGGACACACTACTTCTATTAATGTCCTAGAAATCAGAAGCACTCAGTGCCCCTGAGATATCAGGTCCTACATGGCAAAAAGTATTTCCAACAACAGAAACATGCTTATTATGGTAATTGAAGCAAGAGAGGTTTTGACTGGATGCAGGGAAAGGCTTTTTTATCGTGAGGACAATCAAACCCTGAACGGGTTGCCCAGAGAGAGGCTAGGCAGTCTTCACACCCTTTGACGTTTTCAAGACTTGACTGGATAAAGCCTTCAGCAACCTGGTCTGGCCTCATAGCTGACCCTCCTTTACACCTCCTGAAGTCCCTTCTCACATGAATTATCTTGTGGTCCTATAATCCATTTTCCTACCCTAAGACAGACCCTTAAAACCCTCACCACCTGATGTCTCCTAGCACAGTGTGATGTACCTTCTACGATGTGAACGCTGGCCATGTTCCAGACATCCTCTCAGTTCCCACAATGGAACTATTTCTTCTCCTTTGCCGTTGTACAAGTACCTCCCTTGATAATCTCCCTCTAAACTCAACTTTATCATCCCTCACAAAATTTAGTGTTATCACTTCATTTTTAATCACTGCTGTAAAAAAAAAATAATCAGGAGATGGAAAACATCCTGCAGAATAAATCTTCAAATTCCTGAAGACAATGAATATAGACCAAATGTGAGGTGCCTAAAGATGCTGGCAGAAATCATTTCAACATGCGCATACCAAATTCCTCCCTTAGATTTTAAGCAGATTTAGGAACTACTTTCTTAACAGTCAATATCGACAGCAAAATATTCTGTGGTTTCAAGGGCACTTAGTCAAACTATTAAGCAAACTTTCCAAAATTGAAGCCAAAGGGATTCCTGGCATTTGAACGACAATAAAATGACAAACGTGGCACCATCAGTATCTACCATCTTTCTGAGGCCTTGTCTCTATAAACGAATTTATACTAATTTGGCTAAGCAGATTTGCTATCTCTAATTTGGTTATCTTCATTCAGTAAATTGCCAAAGAAAGCTAAAACGATCCAAACTAAGTTTAAAAAAAGCTTAAAGTTATACATTTAGCTAATCAAAAAAGTACATTCAATTTCAGTTAAATGAACAGAGACAAGGCCTAAGCAGGCCTAACCTCCGTGTCTCCTGGAAGGCTGCCTTTATTTGAGTGGATGGAAAGACAGAAGCTCAGACTAGCAGTAGCATTTTAAATTAAATCCAGACAAGATGGGCATCTGCAAAAGGTGCACAAAAAGGAGAACTAGGCCCACTGCTTTACTTCCAGACCACAAAAGAAAGCTTTGCAATCACAGTAACTGCTTTCTTTATCAACCTTGTAGTTCGACCCTCATAGTATATCCCGTTCTACCTCCACAATAATCAGACTCTCCTACCATGATAAAATACTCCACCGCTTCAGTCAAGGCCTGCCCATCTAGGATACCAATTATTACCTTGTAACTGAGCATTACTGAGGTTGGAAGCGCTAAATCATGATTAAATTACAGAAGAGATGAACGCTCAGAGATTATTAATGGCTGCAGTTTAACCGAAGCAGGATTAGTTGTCCAGGGTGTTGTTTTGGAGTTTTTTTTCCTCTCAGCACTGAGCTGCAGAGCAGGAGCCAGGGACAAAGCAGTAGCATCTGGAAATGTATACGACATGGGACTGGAGAGAGCTAAAATGGAGTTTCATTAGGAAGAAATTAGTGAATGCAACAGCCCTGACCTCCACAGGCGACACCCGGGGAGGGGAGCAGCTACAGGCGCACAGGCCGGCAGCCGGGGTTACCTCGCAGGCCGCTGCCGGGCCCGGCTGGAGCAGGAGGCGCTCCCGGGGCTCCACCACACACCCGGGCCGGTGCTGGGACCCGCCACGGCTGCCTTCCCCCGGCTCTAAGCGCTTCACAGCCCCGCGCAAGGGCGGCTGACTAGGCCGGGCCGGGCCCCAGCGGCCGCGCCGCCTCCCCTCGCCCCGCTCCCCGGGCTCCTCCTGCCGCCGTTACCTGGGGGTCCTGTGAGAAAAACGTGCTTGGACATGGCGGAGGGGAGCGGCAGCCCGCGCTCCTCCCTCTCCCCCACCCGACGCGGCCCGGCTGGCGGGATCGCCGCGCTGCACCGCCCCTTCGCTCCGCCCCTGCCCTTCGCCTTCTGCCTGCGGGGAAGCGCTGAGCGGGGGCCGTGCTTCGCGGGCGGCCGCGGTAACGCGGGACGGAGCTCAGCCGCCGCCGCCGCCCGCCCGGACGGGGCCCCCCCCCCCCGGC